CACACACACACACACACACACACACACACACACACACACACACACACGATGGCAACTTTGTTATTTAAAATCGTTTGTAGGAGAAAGGAAAGATGACAATCCCATGCAAAACAAGAACTCATCAGTTTCAAATTGCAATGGTGTCTGCTTGTTTTGCAGAGTAGAGCCCAAATCTATTTTTCACCTTGGGTCCCTTGATGCAACATACTCTCAAAATAGAATCAGAATTGCAGGCCTCTCAAAGTATATACTTGACTGTTTTTTTTTTTTTTTCTTTTCTCTTCTAATGAGAAGAAGTGATCCACAGAAGTACTAATGATTTGTTTTCCTTAAAGATTTCAGTTGCCCAGTTAGAAAATCACTAACGTGTCATTTTGATTTCTCCAAAATCCTTAATAAGCTCCTCATCCTTCCCTTTATTCCACCACTCTTTGCTGGTTGTCTGAGGACTAAAATAACTTGAGTATTTCAGAAACATTTCTGTGCAGCTGGGAATGTAGGAGAGTACAATAAGAGGTTAAAAAAAGAGCAAAGAAACAAACCAACCCTTCCTTTAGCAACAGAGATGTATTTTCAGCTTATTAGAGAGCTGACTATTGTTCAAAGAACTCCATGTTTAAGTGATGGCTTTGGATGATTTTTTTTTTAAAGAAAAAAATATTGAGGGTCTTTTATCACTATCTGTTTTAATGCAGTTATTCATGAGTGCTCTTGCCAAGAGCCATACAAAAATTCTCCACATTTTTACATTTTTTTCCAATCCTGCCTAAGAAGAAAAAAAAAAAAAAAAAGGACATCAAAGTGTGAGGTTCAGAACTTGAAGAACTGAGTCAACCAGAACTCCACATTCTTTGAAGTCTCCAAGCCTCTTGCCTACTTATTAGAAAAGACAGGCTGAGGAAAAAAATGCTAAACAGTATGAGAAACAGATTAAAATAAACTGAAGTCTTTTCAGCCTTGTGATTCTATGACAAATACGGATTTGAAAACCGGGATAGGTCGTTCGAAACATCAGCGTCAATTAGCCAAAAAGCAGAGGCCGCCATCTCCTTGATTTTCCAAAACTGGTCTTGTTAATCCAAAAAGTGCATTTAGATGTGAGGAAAATTAGAGAGAAAGGCCAAGAGCCAACCGCCCGGCAGTGCGCTTATAACTCAGGTCCTCCAAGGTGACTTGCTGTTACTGAATGAGGACAAGCTTTCACCACACCAGTCTGCGACAGAACTGTTACATCTGGTGCAGGGCGCAGCTATGTGGAATCAGCTCTTGATGGAAAAGTCTGTGGACCTCTGAGACAAAAACTGTGTGTCCCCTTCGTGAAAGGCAAGATGAGGATTGGAAGGCAGAGTGTTTCTCCCCACAGCCTACCTGTGCCACTTCTCTGGATGGACTGCAGTATGCTTCACCTCCGGCCCCTCCCTATGTCAGCAGAAAGAGGGGGAATAAGGAAATTCCCTGTTATGCCCTACAGAGCTTCCCAGAGAAGAGGCCCTATCCATGCACATGGGATGAGACAGCATAGAGCCATATAGCACAGCATTCACGATCCAACACCAGCAAGTACAAAGGCTAAAACCAGTATGAGAGTGAGGATGAATGAAGGGACCAGTTCATGCAAGAGTGTCCCGTGTCTACTTATGTTTCCAGGTAGGTCGCTTCCCCTGCAAAATCCATCAGGCCACAGGGAACTATAGGCCTGAAAAGCCTCAAGGGAGAAGGGGGATTCCAGGAGGGGTTAGGACCTGGGTCTCAGCACTGATACTAACTCAGCACTGGGAAACCCATGTGGACATACGACATGAAGGACATTTATCAAACTGTGAAGAAAGAGAGATGGGCTGAACAATGTCAACCAGGTTAAACAGAAAAGGGAAAGAGACAGATCGGCCTTATCTTTTGATTTTGTAGCCACATACAGATTCCTATGAAATGGGAATGACTCGCTTCAAAGATGGAACTGAGCTATTAATAGAATTGGGAGGCAAGATGCAATGTTGAGGCATCATTAGATAGAGCCTACCTGCATTCAGGTGTGACCACACAGAAATTATCCCAGGGAAGTTAATGAGGCTAGTCCTACTAACACCTGACCATAGCTTTTCAAAGTAGTGTGAAACTTACCTTTTCGACAGCGAATGTTCTTATCACATATTCTGCCAGTAGTTCTGTTTCTATTAGGGTGACCTTAATGTCTTTATATATCTCTGTGTCATCTGGCCAGTACTTGCAGCATTTGACCTGTAGAAAACACAAAGGGCATGAAGGATTTAGGGTGTTTTTCAGTTTTGTTTTGTTTTCTCTTTTGGAGCTCCCCAAATGATGGGTCACAGTGTGATTTATAGGATAAAAATTGCACATAAAAACAGAAGTTAAGCTGCACACTTAAGAACGAGGTTAATTTTTAGATCAGTTGTGTTTCTTTTCTCACCCCAGAAGAAAACAAAATTTGAGTTCTAAGAGTAGTAGAGCCTAGGAAAATCGTCTGAAGTTAACAAGTTGTCTTTCTACTGCAAATATCCCAGTTAACTGTGACCATTCATTTCCTGTTCATCTCTATTCAGGGAAGAGCCTGGAAAAATAAATGATAAAAGGTAGTTTACAACATTTAGCTCCTCTGAATTTAAAATTCCTTCAGGTCAGAAGTTGCCTAAACATTTTGAGGAGGCGTGAGCAGGAAATCCAAGACGACAGTCAAGATTAGAGATTCTTTTCTGAAGAAGGAAGTCACTATTTGGTTTTCCCAAGTGAAAATTACACATTCATTTTAATCTAAGTAAATTCTATATACAAAACTTGGTAAAATATGAGCAGTCTTTCCATATTACCAGAAGCCTCTAATCTAAAGATTTTTGAGGTGGAAGAAATTTGTTAGACTTAGCCCCTTCTGGCAAATTGCTTTTTTTGTCCTGTAGCTCTTCCAGACTTCAGTGAAAGCCTGGAAAGAGGGAAGAACAGGAGGAGGCCTGGCCGGGCCAACGTGGCCGTCCCCAGGGCTCTCTCCTTAGTCTCTTTTCTTCTGTGCTGAATTTCTGACAGCTCTATCCACTCCCGTTGCCACTCCTCTGTGGATGACTTCTGTACCTCTGGCCCCGTTTCTCCAAGTACTGAATTCAATTTCTGCCTCGTTCTGTGGGCATTTCCTGTGGAGATCCTTCCAGCACCACAAAGACAATACCTCTAAAAGAGAATCCTTGGTCCCCCATCAACTGCCCTTGTCTGACTCCCTATGTCAATGACACCATGATTTCTGCAGCTATCCAGGCACATAGTCTGCCGATTCCTTCTCTCCGAAACCAATTGCCAAGTCTAAGATTATTTTTGAATGATATCTCAAATATGTTTTCCAACTTTTTATTCCCTTTGTCACAATCTTAGTTCAGGCTCTGGTACTTCCTGGGTGGGCACTGTCCCCATACCAATCCAGAAGAACCCTTCCAAAGTGTAATCCCAGTAGCATTCACTTGCCCTGCTTTAAGAAGCTTCTATTTCCAACTATTATCTGTGAAAATTAAATAGAAATTAAATTTGGCTCAGCATGTATTTATTTGGCCACAACGAACATTTTTTGCTCTTTTACTACTGTCCTTCTTATCCACATACATTTTATATTCAAAGACAAGTAGTTCGCCCAGATCCAAACTCCTACTCATGCCATTCCTTCTGCTTGGACTGTTCTCCTTCCACTTGTACCTTCCCAGCTGAAGATTTTTTTTTTTTAAAGATTTTATTTATTTATTTGAGACAGAGAGAATGAGATAGAGAGAGCATGAGAGGGAGGAGGGTCAGAGGGAGAAGCAG